CTTAAAATATCCTGTACCAAGTCAGAAGTATGGCAGTTGTTATCAAATAGTTCGTTTCTATGTATGTTGGCGTTTGTTTTTGTTGCACTTCAGTGTTTCTGTTGTTCCGTTGTTTTTCTCTTATAGTTGATGTGTTTCCCTCGGTTTTAGTTCGTAACCCGGATTTGTTTTCTTTCAAACGATTGATGACTTTTGAACAGCGGTATACATTGTACTACTGTTGCCTTTATTTACATAAATAAGATCACTTTTAATCCATTTTTTTTAAACTATAGCTTTATTTTCAAATTTAGTAAATGTATTGTTCCATAATATTTGTTTCTTTATATCCGTAAATGTTTCCTCCTTTTTCGTTAGATCCCCCACCAGGTAATTTCAAACATTTAAGGATAGTTTTATAAAAATCTGGGATTCTTTCAAGGCTTTGTTCTGGATTATCCGCACTGTATGTTTGAAAAAGTAGCCAATTTGACCTAAAATTATAGAAATAGTACTGAGGTATAATTTTCCAATCTCCTTCTTAATCACTTACTAGTCTTTAAACCCACATAGCTTTTAAAGCAATGAAATAACTTCTTATATCTATCATATCTAATCCCCCTTTTTCATATGGTTTATTATCCCAAACGAATTTAAAACAACCTTTTTCTATTTCTTTCAAATATTTCTCCGAAACTATACAAACATTTCCTATAAAAGTGAAAATAGGTACAATAAATGTTTTGATTATCAACCTGTTTCATGCCAACAACTGGGTTTTAAATACATTTTTGATTTCCGATAAAAAAACGCTATGAGTGAATTAATATTAATTCCAAAACAAAATGCCATCTTTAAGGACCTGACAAAAGTATCGTAACTTTATCCCTTCTGAATAAGTCTGTTTAAAAGTTTGGTTCGCTTTTGAGGAGAATGACGACGTTGTTGTGCTTTGTATAGAATATTACCATAAAATATGGGATGTAAAATACCCGAACGTATAAGATGTTTGCACGTTGATTTATATTTACGAATGATGTTCTTGTACCGATGATAAAATTTAGTAAATGTGTTGACAGGCATGTGACATCGAAAACCCTGGTGTAATAATATTTCAGTAATACAGAGATTTTTTCGTTAAAATCAAATACGTTGTTACATACACGAGCGAATCGAACAAGTTGTGATATATAAACACCATAAGATGGTGCCAAGGGAACGTCACTTTTTAAAAAATGATAATTAACAATAGCTAATGAAAAATCATCTCTTTTATCGTAAATTTTAGTATTAAGTTTTCAGTTACAGATATAGATATCAAGATCCAGGAAAGGGTAGTGTTCATTGTTAGTATTAGCTTTCAGTTCAACAAGATAAATCTCTTTAGTGTACATATTAAAATTGGTGTATTTAGATTGATTGATTGATTGTTGGTTGCTTAACGACCAGTTGCAAATATTTCATGTATATCCAGGACGAGATCAATTAAAACAATATATACAATAGGTAGGTCCTGTTATAGAGGCCGTCCAAGTTGAAGGTCGGACAAATTTGAACTGCCACTAAATAATGAGGAAATATTGGATAAGGAGCGTGGCACTCTATTTAAACGAAGCATCGGATTTAACGTCCGCGATCTGACCGTACTTTTGCATCCCGCACAGTCAAACGGACGCCCAACTTTTGCAAGAGTTTTTGTTTCTGCCGGTTGGAAGAAGAGACCATCTGTCTATTTCACAGCCATCCTTATTTTGACTTTAATTAAAGAAAATGATACCCACAGTTTACATGTTGCTGTCAATCCGGGAAACTTGTATGTCTCAATGTTATCAATTGCATATCTAACACCGTTTTTTTTGTCAATTAGAAACCAATTTAATTCATTAAGGAATAAAGTGAGAGAAAATAAACAATAAATCAATTTTAATTCATGAGTAATCAATAACTACATAAACAGATAAATAAACAAAATGATTAATTATCCATAAGTTACCTCCCAGCAAACACATAGAATATTTAAAACATTTTTAAAGTGTCATATGGACGTCATTCAGAAAACATTGCAATAAAATATCATTTGAACATCTTCTTTTTATTGAAATGAATTGAATCTAACATTAAAGTAAAATATTTGTTCACTATTTTATAACACTGTAAATGTTATCAATACTTTAATTATAAAGTAAGTTTCAATTTTTCTAATATTAAATTTCGAAAGAGTCAACGTTAGATTAAGCGATAAAGTATAAATAAACACTATTCTTAAATGTTTATCTAATTCGTTTGTGTATATTTTAGAAATTTTGAAATGAAAAATGTCAATGAAATATAATTTCCCTATTTTATTCCATATTCGTATCGTTATGCATAACGGAAAACTGACCTTTTTCCGAAATTGGTGCAGAAGTCGACGTTCTTGTTTAATCACAAAAGATCGCGGGAACCAGTTTGTGGAAATACAATTTGGAAATTTGAAATTAAGACATGGTATATAAACAAAGAGAACAAAGAATATTGTGTAGACACCAACCAACAACATCTTCTAAAACATTGTGAAAACATTTGCAGGCAATTAATAGAAAATATCAAAAACACATTTTTACGACATTATTTGATATTCATGATGTTCTAGTTCTAGCTAAAGGACTTTAATTCATTCCTAGTCCAAATCTTCGAAATGCAAAAAAAACTCTCATAAATAACTTCAAAGAACAAGCACTTAAAATGAGATGCAAATATCAATCTGAGGATGGGTCTCGCCAATACAATCGTCACCCATTTCTTTCAAAAAGTGGTTATAATTAGTTATTTGGCTACTAATGCAATTGAAAACTACTTATTTTTCAACAAGAATTGAATTGGAATAAACTATCTAAATCATTTAAGGACAACCTATCTAAAAATGAAAGAAAAGCATAGCATTCACTGTTCAAATGATCGTATCGTTATCCAAAAAGGCTAAAAACACCTCAACAGTTGTTCTTGACATAGAGCTCTATATCAAAATGGCAATAAACCAATTAAATGACAATGTACACTATGAAAGAATAAACGAATATCATACAACGGAAATACTACAAAGTATCAACACAATCATTCATCGTCTACACAAGGACTCTTACATTGCTTAAGTTACATTTAAATGTCGAATTAATGACCAGAAATAGATTAGAGATAAAATTGAGAATGGAAATGGGGAATGTGTCACTATACTTCCTACCAAAAATTCATTAAATTAATCAATCAAATAGAAAAAAAGATTAAAGTTGATATCAATCATTTAAAAAATATAGACGTTTTAAGAAAACCTATCATATCCTTATGCAATATCCCGTTAGAAAGTGTTGCACAATATATTTATTATTTTATTAAACCAGTTGTCAATCAATGTTGGACATACACACAAGATACAACTTCTTTCATAAACAAATTAGAAATAAAGATCATCTGCGGACATATTAATTAGTTCATTTGACATTTCAAGTATGTACACCAATCGACAGAGCATGGCCGCTAATAATGCAATGTATATTTACATCCCAGTGTCATCCAAAAAGGATATAATGGAATAACTAAAAATTGTCCTTGCAAATAATGAATTTGAATTCAACGGGCAAATTAGGGAACGCCACAACTGCCTTATGATAACGATAGTCATATCATTAATGGTTAAGATATAACATGAAGCAAATTTCCTATACTATTACGACATTTGACTATACTACTCTGTCAATTTGCTATATCACTAAAATAAATTTATATACTAAAAAGACGTTTTGATATAACATGGAGTTACCTTTTCATAATATTCTGTGATTTTACATTGTCATGAAGATATTCTTTTATACTATGAAGACATCTTGATATAACATGGAGCTACCTTTTCATACTGATTTGTCATTTTACTATACTATTATGTGATATTGCTATATCATAAAGATACATTTTATACTGTAAAGACATCTTAATATAACATTGCGCAACTTTTTTATACTATTTTGTTACCTCACTATACTATTATGTCATGTTACTATCTTATTATGATAAATGTGTATATTATACAATTATCTCGATATAACACGGAGTAACGTTTTCATACTATTCTGTAATTTTACTATCTTACGACGATAAAGCCGTATACTACAAAAACATCTTGATATAATATGGAGCCACCTTGTTGATACTATCGTATCACCTCACTATGCTATTCTGACAGATTGCCATGTCATAATGATACATTTGTATACTATGAAGACGTATTGATACAACAGTAATGCTGACCAAGGAATATAATATACGTAGAATTTAATAAATTCGAGGTGAATATGGCATGAAAAATTGCCTCCCAATTTGTATATGTAAAAACTCCATAGCTCTGGACGGAAAACATTTCACCAAAAATTATACAGACCATAAAACTATTATTAAAAACAACAGTGTACAGTTTGAAATAAGCAAAACAAGACATTCCCAAGATACAGCACGACGTGAAACCCCTTTTTTTGATAAATAAAGTCCATAAAACTAAAACATATAAGACCTTGAGACCATCACCACAAAGAACTGAGTACAGGTTAAAGTTAATCGGGCAAGGCATTCTTAAGATACGGTGCGTTTTGTGAAAAATTGCTTCCCTCCTTTTTGAATGAATAAAGTCCAGATCTCTGGAAGGCAGGAATACGCCAACGAACTATTGCTAAACAATCTCATCCCAGAAACTTCTCTTACAGTCCTTTCAGGAAGTGTGCTGACAGATGGTGCAAACCATGACAGGATGAACGTGGTATGGATAAGACAAAGGCTAACTCAGAAAAGACAAAAAAGAACTCAACACAGCTCCAACAGAACTACAGATTTACTTTTCTGACAATTGTTAAGGCTTAAGTTGTAATCAGTTATTGCCTTCGACAGTAAAACTTCTGTTGATCAGTAGAGAAAACCAGGGTTTCAGTGCATAGCACATATTTTGAACCGTAGATTTGTGTATTTTTGTTGCTTCATAATTAGATTGGTATACTTACTTTTAAATATTACAATTCTATGTTTACACAGTAAAAAAGTGCCAATAACAAACAGGAATACGATACAACGTAATGCAGTTTTGTTTCCACCTCTGGAATATAATAAACAAATGATACATGTCAAACTATGATATATCAATACAAATATCTTATAATTGATTGGAATGAAATGTATCTAACAATTGAAATCATAACCATTCATTAAATTATGTTGTCTTTGATCAGAAATCATAATAGAATATTATGAATTGTTTGGGAATATATATTTGTAGAGGAATGTTTGACTATCTATGGAAAACTGAATAAGAAATTATAATATTTGTTGCATTTTAGTGCGAAAAAAGTATTTTTGTACATACCAAAATCGTAAATCATATTTTGCTTTTATACTTTTACTATGTGCATACGCGTAAAGATGCAAAAACATATTGGCCAAAGGTACATTGGGATAGACTTATTCAAATAGTGGATCAGTATAGAAAATAATCAACTTGTAAATACATCAGAAGTTGCAATAGCCATAATTTAGTTAAAAACGGTATTGAATTGAACGAATCAAATTTTTCTAATATGTGGTCTCTTGACTTATATCTGGCAAATATATGAATAAGATGATATGGTATGAGTGCCAATAAGACAACTCTCCATCCAAGTCACAATGTGTAAAAAATAAACAATTATAGGTCAGAGTAAGGCCTTCAACACGGAGCTTTTGCTCACACCGAACAGCAAGCTATAAAGGGCCCCAAAATGACTAGTGTACAACAGTTCAAACAGGAACGATAAACACTTATAAACCACAACAGGCTTCTGACTTAGGACAGGTGCATACAAATGCAGCGGGTTTAAACGTTTAAACAGGCGCCAACCTTCACCCTAACATGAAACAGTAGTGTAACATTACAACATAAAAAAACACAAACAATTTGTTCATAAAAATAAAAAATAAGTGTTTCCCTACATATGAATTGATATGGTGTAATGTAATTTCATAAAAAAAAAGATAGAGAAAAAACCCAAAATAAGAAGTACACATTCAATATGTCTATTGTAGCTTATGACGCTTTGAACAGGGACATTTTTTTACATTTTCAAACTGGATTTTGGAATTAGAATTTCGTTTCGAAACCGCCTTTGTAAACTGCCTGAGGCCTAGGTATATTTCGTATCTTGATATCAGACGGATACATGTAAATATTGTTCAATCTTGCAATGAATGACATCTCATGTAATTCTAAATACCTGTTAAATTCTTTCGGAGACAATTAGAGAAAGGAAATATGCTTCAAAAATGACACATTTTATCATGATGTGATAGGATGCCTGTACTCCATGTAACATTTACTAGAACCATGTTATTTATAATGAAGTTTAATCCACGAGAAGTCTTTTGTACTTTCGACATTGCCATATTTTGATACTTTAATTTTCTCTCTGCAATCGACTGTAACATGGTTGGGTATTTTTTGCGCTGCAATTTTTAACAATATAAAATGTGCTTTTTGATAGTAAAACATGTTTTGAAATCATTTCTTTACTTACCCTGGCAAAGACATTAAGCAACCGTGAATTAGATACATAAACTCAACAGAAAAGCGTGGCTGCATCCACATGGATGACAAGTAATCAATGATGCATGATTGAGCTGAGTTAAAAGTGATATAGCGACGTGTACAATAGTCCGGGAAGAAACAAACACGACAATAACTTTGTTAGATATGATTGTTGTTATTTTCATTAGTTGTTGATTCGAAAGAAATTTGTTTAATTTTACATATCTGCAGTTGTTAATGGTGAGGGTTATATTACATTTTACGTTTCATGTAAAGATTTATTTTTTTAACATAAAGTAAAATAGTTCATTTAATTTAAAATATTTGAACCTGCATGATCATGTTCATAGCCTTCGTATCTGGATAACCAACATTTATAATCGTTTACATCTCAATGCGTATTTGTTGCAGTCAAACTAGTTTCGGTTCATCTTGTTTGCGCTCGTTATTAAAGCATATTTAAGCACGAATTCACAATGCTTTTACAGACAAATCGCCTAATTTGTAGACAATAAAGATTTTTTTTTCCAATTTCAGTTTCAATTTCTAGAAAAAAAAACAAATGTTTAACCCGCAAAACGACCAAAGGTGAAAAATTTGTAAAAATTAAAGTCTCGTACATCTCGTAAAATCATCACAAGGACGATGCCTTAGACAATCAGTTTCTTTAAGCCACACCAATTTGATTTGTAGTTTTTGTGAGGCGAGTGCTCTATTACTGAGCGGTATATTCTTTTTTTAAATTTTGCGATTCATAATTTATGTACATGTTAAAACTGGATTACCTCACGGAAATACAAGGAGAAACATGCTCTAATGCATAATTTGATGTATTGGTGCCTGTAACATACCCGACTTTCTTGTCTCGATGTGGTTAAGTTGATTATTTTCGTCAAATAAGCTTTGTCTGCGTTAATTTTTGTTTAAATCCATACATGTGTATATATTAAGAAAGCATTTTAGATGCAGTTTAAGAAGAGGAATGATGTGTAGGATAAATGACATATGTCGAAAAAATCAGAAATGTATCCACAAAAATGCCCCTGAACAATATTTTTTTATATAGTTGTTTTCATTATATGGTAATGATTGTTTATTGGCTGCTTGACATCCAGTTGGAACTATTTATCTATATTAAGAATCAACATAATGAGTGATGTGAAGGTTTCAACAACATCATGAGCATGATGAGTAAGATAGTTATATTGATTTGCATGTAGATCTCAATGTATTAAAATATCCCTTTAAAATACTCTTTCCTTTTGCTTCTAAAAGCTGCAATGCATTTAAAAAAACTCTTAAACTTGAATAGAAGTGGTTAATAACACATCACAAATTATTATGAGCATGCCAATCCCAATACCACCATGTTGTAATTTACCCTTACAAATGAGATCTGCTTGCATGCCAAAAGACTAACAAGGGAATATGGGATTTCATCAAAATAAGATAAATCTGTGATATTTTTAAAAGTTCATGGGACTTTAATATTATTTCATTTAAGATAGATATATGTCTATGTCTGTTGAATCGATGATCGGAGATGATGATGGTTCTAACAAATATAGTCCGAGATTACTCTGACGTCCAACGGCTGTTTTGCCAGACAAGCTGGGGCCGTGGTCCCTTGGCCCCAGCTTGTCTGGCAACACAGCCGTTGGACGTCAGAGTAAAAATATTGATGTGATTGTGGTCATCTAACGAAAGATTTTAAATTTTTGCCTCCTAGAACTGGTCTTCAATGATAAAATGAGATGCATTGCGGATAACTGTGTGTTCAATAACTACTTGTCCATGGCAATGAGCTGACACAACTACATGTCGGCATTCCGATTATTGACCTTTTATTTACAAATCGATTTATCACACGTGCGTTTGAATCGATAGGAGCAATATGTGCACAAGAAAAACGTCTATGTGAAAAAAAATCAAGGAGAAACTAATTTTGGAGCGGCATGCGGCCCAAAAATTTGCGAAAGCGGTAATAGTTTATTTTATTGAAAAGTCAATTTCTCCAAAACAGGAGCGGGAAAATCCAAAGAACTATTAATCAAATTGGTGTGGCCTTGTAGATGCTATTTTTTTCTAGTGACTAATTTACAATTGACTTATCTGAGATTTTTTTATTTTTTACTTTTTTTTTATTAAAACCTCATTGTCGCAACTACTACAAAAAAAAACTGCGAAAAAGCGTGGATTAACTTAAAGGTTGTGCTTAAAACATACTAGAGTTTTACAAATTGTTAGCAAAAATAAGCAATAATGAAACTACACATTAGATCAGACCAAAGCTGTACTGCAAGTTAACTAGATAATCAGTAAGGTCGAATGGTGAACATTATTCTACGACAAGTTCTAGGACTGCTTTGATTGGTATAAAAATATCTTCTGATTTCCCGCTTAAAAAAGGAAAACGATATTGCTACACAGGTGACATAGTTAAACACAAACAGCCAATTCACATGGTATATTTGTATAAGTTTCAAATTCTTGAATTAATTTCTATTTCATATGTAAGGTTAAATTCCACAGATGATGTATGAATCCCTACCCTTTCAATGGTGTACAGATGTATAACTAAGAAATTGTATTAAACGAGAGTAAAACAGAATACACATTTAGTGACTGCATACCAATCAGTGTTTACCCAGGGTCAATTTTATTTTTCACCACCCCCTTTCACCAAAATGATATTCTTAGGCCACTTTTCAATTTCTTTTTTCCCTATTTATTATTTTTTTTAGAAAACAAACTAAATTTCAATTTGCAACGTCGTCGTCTAATGAACATCATGGATCTTATATAAGCCACAATGTAAATTAGTCATACATATCTATTGTTTAATACACATTTTAAGAGTTGAACATTTAATTATAATAATAAGGTTATTTGGTTTACATTTATCATGTGTATGATGCTATAGAACTACATTTGAAGGCAAGAAAGTTCAAACTGCCCTCTTTTTGTGGATTTTAGTGTCAATAATTGAATGTGTACACAAAACATCAGCATATACAGATCCTTTATTGCAAGTTCTACAGACAATACCAAAAAATAGGGTTTCCGATTTCCATATATTCACAAAGACCACATCTAGAGTCATTACATTTTGAAACATTATATTCCATTCCAGTTGTGTCATGAAACTTAGTCTTTGTTAAAATCTTCTTTCGGTTACAAGGCTGTCATTCACTTTTCACGGATTGTCCCCATGGGAATAGTGTTATCACTTGTATTTGTTTTTGTTTTTTTTTTCTTGCACTACCGGTTCGCTTGTATGACGTTGAATATGTTAGGATTGCACGGGTTACGAGAGTTAACAACCGGAATAGTTCCGTGTTTCTCTCTCGACATGCTGTGTACCTGAGTTGCGTTATAGGTACTAATTTTGTCTTTTCTATTTCTTGGTCTATTAGTAGGTGGGGATAATTGTTTCCTTTAGAAAACTCATCAATTCATTTAAACATATTTCTTTCGTGGACTCGTCACTTACAACAGTACATACATGTACACGTCTTGCAAGAGAAAACGGTACTTCGTTTCGTGTCTGAAAGATGGCACAAATATATTTCAAGTACTGGTGGGTGTATACCTTCTTAAACAGTACTTGCAACCTTAGGCGTTACTGTTTGACGTCAACTTGACTGATCGATCGGTGAATGATCGGTGATGAATGTTTGACTGATCGATGAATGATCGGTGATTGATGACCCATAGATCCGTCAAATAATTAAAATTAGTTATGTGAGAGTTACCGTGACAACATTCAGAGATCGATCAGTCAATTAATAATTTGCAATGAACGGACGGATACATTTATAATTAAAATTCTTATGTGAAACGAACTCCGCGGTATTTACATGCGACAAATACAAACGTCTACGAAGACACCTTTACCCGATAATATGTAATCAACTTAGTCGGAATAACATATCAAAAACTTAAATATTTTACTTTAAACGCTTTATATGTACTGGTTTCATTAGGGGGTTCTTATGTTTTTCCGCTAAATAAATTGCATAATTGCAGAATAATGACATGCTCAGAATGTTTATATATCTCTATTCTAAAAAAAGATTAAATGTTATCAGTTGAAATGAGTACCGTATTTAGCAATCATGCATTGTAAAGCCACTAGATGTGTTCGTTTATATAAAATAAAGATAATATTAAAGTACAGATACTTACCGCTTTGTTTGTGTTGATTAAACGTGCAATTACTACTTTGTCTTAATGGAAATCATGAACCACCATTTGGTTTTTTAGCACTTTTCTTTACATCAGGTTAGGTTGCTTTCATAGAATATGAGACAAGTTATTAAAATGTTGGTAACATTGTTTAAAAAAGCCAATAGTTATTCTTTTCACAAAAAACAATGCAATTTCATTTGCAATCAGTCATTTCAAATGCCTCTTGGTGAGTTATTTTATAAAATGTGAATAATCTAAGGATAAGGATACCTAAAACAGTGTGTGTTTTGAAAAAGAATATATATATATATATATATATGCCTGAAAAAAAGTTTACAAAACAACACCAATATGTAAAAAAGGAAACAATAAATGTAAGTATCTATAAATAATTATTTCGGATAACAGATATCCTTCATTAGCGTAATTATGATGATGTAAAATGAATCATATCTATCTGTTCTGATTAAACTAGATTAATTTTTACAAATATACAATTAAAAACCGAATAACGTTTGTTTAATTTCAAAAATGACGTAGGTTAAGTATTTGTAGAAGACACTGCATAGGTATGCATCTAAAAAGAATAGTGATATGCTAAAGAACTGGTACAATATAAAATTTCACAGGTGACGAAAGTAATTACAACAGCGCAAACATACACTCCCAATGAATAGCACTGGCAGATTTGAACTGGTATAATACAAAAATTTCAAATTTGACGAAGGGTCAGTAATTACAACAGAGGCTGCGTATGTATTCATCCCAAAAATGAATAGTGCTGCTAGATTTGAACTGGTATGTTTTTTAAATTTCAAATTTTGACGAAGCTTAAGTAATTACACAGAGGCTGCGTAATTATACATCCCAAATGAATACCA